AAACCTGTGATCACTTTGTGCATAATTTTTTTCCAAATTGGGCGTCTGTTATCCAATCGTTTAGAAACTATATGAGAGTAATTGTGGAGCGGACCTGAGCAATATTCCGAAAACTATTCTCAAAAAGTTCCAGCCAAATTTGAACTATTTCAAAAACCCTACGCGTCTATAGTTTTGAAATCGACTATAGTATTACGCACTCGGTATGAATGTTGGATTAGCCTTGTGCATCTTGTGCACTCCCTGGAGGAGCGGATTGTCGTTTCAGCTGCTAGCAAGTACGTTACACAGTCAGAACCGCTTAGTACGCACAGGGTGTAAGACATACTTTTTGCAGTTGACGAAAAATTGGCACACATGATTGCAGCGTGGGTGTAGTAAGTACGGTAGTAGGTTGGCTAGAAAGTACTTTTCCGTGTTCCCTTGTGGGTACGTCTTATCAGGTTTTGACTGTGTGTGTGTGTGTGCGTGTGTTTGTGTGTGTGTGTGTGTTTGTGTGTGTGTGCGGGTGCGTACGTGCGTGCGTACATGCGTGCGTCTGTGTAACAGGAGGTTTGTTCTAACAATGGCCTGGCTATAGCACTTGTCAATCTCCTTCACATCGACTCGGCGTCGCTGCGCAAGTGGTGTCTGCTATGCCTGGGCCGTATGTGGCAGAACAATGCCAGCACGCGCAACAAAGCTCTTATCCAGGGTATCCATGCCAAGCTCTATTCCCTCATTACCGACCAGTCACCGGAGGTGAGTGCCGGAGAGTAAGGAGAGCTTTGCGGCTGTTTAAGTGCTATGTGTGTGTGTGGGGGGGGGGGGGGAGGGCTGAGGTGCGATCTGGTTTGGGTGCTGGTGTCGGTGGATTTGAGGGGGAGGAGGGGGAGGGGGTGATCTAGTTTGGGTATTATTCTTTTATTCCACGATGGCGTGGGTATGGTTACTTCTTTGTTGGGCTGACATCTCCTTTCTCTCTACTAAGCTCATACACCAGTGTGCACCTTGCATTACAATGGTTTGAGGGTTATGTGCTGTGCCTCTTTCCTCATGTTCACTTCCTGAACCTCCCCCCCCCCCCCCCCCTCTCTCTCTCTCTCTCTCTCTCTCTCTCTCTCTCTCTCTCTCTCTCTCTCTCTCTCTCTCTCTCTCTCTCTCTCTCTCTCTCTCTCTCTCTCTCTCTCTCTCTCTCTCTCTCTCTCTCTCTCTCTCTCTCTCTCTCTCCCTCTCTCTATCAATATTTCCACTGTACAGGTTCGCACTGCACTTGTATTCGCCCTGAGGATGTACTTGAGCGAAGGCAGCCCGGAAGAAAACCCCGACGATCCGGAGGCTGTATTGGAGGACACACCCGAATCATTCCGCAGCATTATTATCGATCAGTCGGTCGGCTCCGTTCTTTCACAGCTTGTGCATGACGGATCACCTCTGGTTCGAATCGTAAGTTCTTAGGATTCAGAGGTCTTGTCAGCAAAAATACAATTATGCTTGGTGAAATCTGACCCAAAGTGAAAATTTAGCGCCCTAAACTTGCATAGCCCTTGCAGTCCTGGAATTGGCACGAATGCGGCTGGACGTACTTTCTTGTAGTGTTTTACCTCTGTTGCACCTATGCCTGCCTGCTTGTTGTGTTCAGGAACTTTGCACTGCGCTGGATCATCTGGCTTCTATCTTCCCTGCCGAGTTCGCCCTTGCTGTGGACCAGGTATGCATCAGTGTGCGCGTGTGTGATTACCTTGTGTGTGTGTGTGTGCGCGCGCGCGCGCGCGTGTGTACGTGCACGTGTGCTCTTTGTGTGAAGATGGTAGGGTGCAGGTACTGTACAGGCAGAAAATTTCGTCGGTCAATAATTTCGTCCAACTCCAAAGAAAGGGATTTCGTCCGGTTGAAAATTTAGTCCATGGACTACAACAATGTATTGAAACGCTGGACAAATCGACATTCGTCCGGCACTTAATTTAGTCCCAAAGCTCCTTGGACGAAAAAGACGATTAAATTCCAGACGAATATTTCTGCTTGTACAGTACATCGTTTAGAGCTGTGTTGTTCTAGTTCTGGCCATGGGTTTCCCAGCCCTCTCGGGCAGCTTTGGGGGTTCCTGGGCCTAGAGCTGTGTTGTCCGGCTCTGGCCATGGGTTTCCCAGCCCTCTGGGGCAGCTTTGGGGGTTCCTGGGTTTAGAGCTGTGTTCTAGTTCTGACCAGGGGCAGCTTTGGGGGTACCTGGGCCTAGAGCTGTGTTGTTCTAGTTCTGACCAGGGGCAGCTTTGGAGGTTCCTGGGCCTAGAGCTGTGTTGTTCTAGTTCTGACCAGGGGCAGCTTTGGGGGTTCCTGGGCCTAGAGCTGTGTTGTTCTAGTTCTGACCAGGGGCAGCTTTGGAGGTTCCTGGGCCTAGAGCTGTGTTGTTCTAGTTCTGACCAGGGGCAGCTTTGGAGGTTCCTGGGCCTAGAGCTGTGTTGGTCTAGTTCTGACCAGGGGCAGCTTTGGAAGTTCCTGGGCCTAGAGCTGTGTTGGTCTA